GAGGAGGGGGATGACGATTCAACAAATGGTGTTGTACTTGTAGATAGCAACGAAGCTCAAGAAGAATGGTCTGCTGAGAAAGAACAAACTTCTTCGGCCTAAATAGACAATGGTATGGTTACCTAGTCGAAATGAAATGTGTCTTAAATAGCTGAGCTATTGTGCCTTAGAATATGTGTCCCTTCCATTCCGGGGGACGTGATTGTACCTTAAATTAATGGGTTGTTTTTCGCGATTACCTGTTTTCTTAGTGAGTGATGCTTTCCAGCTTCATCATCCTTTGGTGTGAAGAGCGGGCAGTTTCCCCCGAAAGTCGAACGAAATCGAGCAACCACGAGCATCATTTCCCCCCACCTGTAATTGCTGTTATTATTCTGATGATTGTTTTCTTAAAGACAGTGTTGCTAGTAGACGACAATCATGTCCCAAGTTATCGATTTGTTGTTATCTGAGTTGTTTCCTTCCCACATTTCTACCCTGGGTCTTCTTAGTATTCATTTTTGGCATCCATTTGGTTATTCTCAGTTCGGTCGGAATGGGAGCCAAAGCTGGAACCATATGTGTAAGCCCTTTGTTCTTGGCTCTGTCTGTGAGTAGCTTTCCAGGGTGCATGTTATCAGGAAATGAATCTTTTTGCCGCTGGTAGCTGCACAAATATAAGATAGTAACTCCACCTTTTAAAAAGCTAGGGGGAATACAACTATTCCGGTTTTGATCAATTGCGCACTTAGATAAGAGTTGAATTGATGGTAAGCATTTTGAGGTTGGTTGATGGAACCTTCTTTGGTAATTGGGATGCACGATGCTTCCTCCAAACTGGCTAGTGGAAAGATGTTAAGGAAGAGGTAGAGGTTCCGTTCGTCCACTGGGAACTGGTTTCAGGTTCATCGAAAAGTATGTAATGTGGTGCGATCGTTATATCTCTTTAGATGATTGTTGACATCAAGGTTTGAAACCGTCGTGTTGTGAAATTTATCCTTTCATGTCATACAATAAGTTTTTTTTTTTGTCAAAGATATCATATATTGATCAAAAAATAGGCAGTTACACCCTGGAAACCAGCCAGGACTGGAAATCAAAGAAGTGACTCATAGTCGGGTACAAAGAAAGGGCTTTCCTATCTACCAAATGAGCTACCCTATTGTTCTCCCGACCTACAAACCGCACACTAAATCTAGGTTGAGTACGAAATGATGTCCAATCTCTTCCAGAACAGCACCCAACCGGCTATCTCCTATGTCGGCTTGATTAATTTTGTCAATACTCACCTTCGCATCGCCCTCAAACCGGACCTCTGACAAGCCCATCTCCATATACCAAATAATAGCTTCCCTGAGCACAAGCAATTCCACCACCATAGGATTGTCCATTTGAGGAAACTGAACCCCTCTAACCAGAAGGAGTGTCCGCGCTAGATCCAAAAGAACCATCCCACCAGCCGAATGCGACCCACCCTTCGTAGCTCCGTCCCACATGCATACAATCTGGGAATCACCCATTTGCACTGTAGGTTGCATTACCGGGTTCAGCACCCAAGGGTGCAGCACCCTAGGAGCTTGGTCCGCAGGTAGACCCACCCATTCCTCATACTGTTGGTTAAACTGGCGCATGAGAGCCGGGATCCCAAATTGTTTGCCCTGAAAGACTACCCAATTACGAGGCCGCCAGATCTTCCAGAGGATGTCCACAACTGCCATAACCATTGATGGTTGATGAATCAGCGCCAACAGACGTTTGAGAAACAAAGGAAAAGTGTGCCGAGGCAAACCCTCCCCCAAGTAATCCAGTCCTGAATAGTCTCAGAGTGCCCGTGCTACCGGACAATAAAGGAACAAGTGTCCATCGTCTCCGGGCCATCCCAACAAACTGGACACCGAAGAAGCACCTGGACCTTTTTCTCAATAAGCGCCTCTGTAGTCGGAAGAGCCCGATTAAGAATTTGCCAGGCAAAAACTTTTAACTTCTCGCAACCTTATTTATCAACAAAATTTAATTTTACAGATAACATATTTTTTTCTAGCTCAGGAAATGCACAGTCGGATTCCACCTCCTCTTCAACCAGGTCAGTAGAATTGGAATTTGTTCGGTCGAAAAAATCAAAATCAATTAGGTCTTTTATCGAATTTATGATAATCAGAACCACAAGGGAGCGATGATGGAGCTGGGGGGAAGGGTTGTGCAAGCTGAATTTCCAGGGAGGGCCGTTCCGGCGATTCGAGGAAGAGATATCGGCGATGCTTTTTGCAGGGTGGAGAAGGACGATGCGAACTGCCGGTTGAACTAGTCCACCGCCGCGCCGAACGTCGCCATCGAAACCGAGCCGGAGTCCTTCTGCTCCGTGTAGCGACCGCGCCGCCAATTGTAGCATCGAAAATGGTTACGGAGCCAGAGTCGCGGGCGCGATGGGAAGGTGGGTCTTGGTGTGGAGGAATAGTGACGGGAGGCGGAGGAAGGATCGAAGGGGAAGAGAACGATACGAGTTGATGGGGAATTATTGAGGTTTTGAAATTTTTTGTTATTATTATTATTATAAGAAAGGAAAAAGAATATAGAAATTCAAAAAATAATTTTTTATTCCCTATTTGTTGACGTGGCTAAGTGAGCTGGCCATTGACTAACTGTCAACTGAGTTGACCGTTCAATTTAACGGTCAAACCTGCTTTCGGGCCAAATAAGAAAGTATGGTACATAGGTCAGGCCAGAAAAGCAATTTCCGAAACCACGGGCCAAAGTAGAAAGTTTGTGTATAGTTCGGGCCAAACTAAGATATTAGATAATATATGGTAGAAGGAAAGCATACAGCCGAAGCCATAAATTTGGGTTGTTCAAAGACCAAGCCAGAAAGCAATAGGTTTTATGCATAGTTTCGTAGACAAATGCATAATTCTACTTACGAAAATCTATGGTAGAAATTGGAAAGCATAAGCAGTTGACAATCTAGTGTTTATTGGACATGTGAGTTTTATTAAGTGAAATTGTGAAGGTAATGTGTATTAGTAACACATAAGTTTGAGTTAGAATGTTAAATTACAGAACGAAAATTTTGGGGAATGATATATTGAGGGATAAAAACTAAATCGTAGAAATTAAACTCATCAAGTAAATCACTTATTCTAGATAGATTACAGAAGTATATGGCAGCAGGAGGAGAATTCTTGGTTACTATTGGTTATTGATCAAATGACAGGCTGCAGAGTAGTGCTTATAATGGATGATAAACTGAAAATTTTCGTAAAATTTGTACCCCAAACACATTCTCCTCCTTCCAACACTAAAATGAAAATATTTACTTTTTAAAATGGGGCTTGCTAATTATCGCCCTTGTATTACTAAAATCGCCCTAACTTGAAAGTTAAAATTACCTATTTATCCTTTTATTTTTTTTATATTAAGAATTATTCTATTAATAAACCCAATCAACCTTCCACCAATAACAAAATAAACGGACTCTGCCATTATCCGCCACCGCCATCCCGGCCGTTCCCATTATCTGCCGCCACGGCGCCACCATCCCTGTTTTTGGGTTCTGAGTTCCGGTTTACCCCTCTGTTTCTTGTTGATTTTGAGGAGTTGCATCAAGTGGATCTATTTATCTTTCTACTATTGATGGTGGTTGTGCTGTAGCCTTACAGGATTGTATATTGCAAAAATTACGTTGTATGTGATGGTGAGCTTTTGTATAAAATACCAGACCGTTTTGGAGACAAATGAATGAAACTGTATGTTCATTCTCTTAAGAGATGGTCGCCTTGGACCTTTCTTGCTTTCATTCTGTTATGATAAAAACATAAAACGATTTGTATCGATTCCATCGTGGACAAAAAAGAAGGTGGTCGGCGGCGGAGATCATTTGGAGTGCAGGAGTTGCGCCGGCGGAGGGTACTCAATTTAGTGACTCTCGTTGAAGAAGGATTGGGAATTGTAGGTGGATAATTTAGTAATTACATGTTTTAAGTTAGGGCGATAACAGAAAATTTAGGGCGACATTTAGCCATTCAGTTTAAAATATACAAAATAAATATAAGCGATTAATAGTAAAACAGTCCCAAACTTATTCATCCAAAAGAATACCACTAAGACTTGTCTCCCAATTATTCAGCAATCAGCACCCCATTTCCCCTTCACAATTTCATCAGTCTAGTGGGTCTATCCTGGTCCAACTTGTCATTTTACTGTAATTAAAATAGGAAGTTAAGCATAGGAGAAATAGCTCTACTAATCTAATACTATGAAAAAATCAATTAAATTAGTTACTCCGCCTCTTCGTAACTACACTATTAAATAATGTTGCTAGATTTGGCCCATAGAAAAAACTTTATCGCCATTTTCGTCAAATAATGGAAGAGCCATGGAGATATTCCATCCATCTAGCATCTGTGATACTATCTTGAAGAACACGTGGCATTTTCACATTAGCTGGATATGACACCTCACAATATTTCCATTAGATTTTTGCAACCCCTAAATCCTAATGTATCTTAGACTAACTCCAACCCAAAAGGTTATATTTAGCCTCTCAAGCTCTCAAATGTGCATTTTTACCTTCCAAAAACACTTTTTTGCTCCAACCCTAAACCTTCTAAATTTGCCTTCCCAACTCATAACCAACCAATCAAAAATTAAGAAAGTAAAAAAATAAATAAAAAAGAAGATGCTAGAAAGTGGAGGGCCCCAGCGTGTGGGCTTGGGTTCCATGGTTGGTCCCCCCACCTTCTCCTTGCATTTTTTCATATTAGTTTCTATCTATCCACCCCCAAGCCAACTTCTCCAAATTTGCAAGCCAAATAATTGGTGGGTTGGAGATGAAAAAAGCAAAAACCTCCCTTTCTCCAAATTTGCATGCTTGGGTTGGAGATAGTCTTAGGTGACCAACTCGTCCAAAAGAAAATCAAACCTCCAAAAATCCCCAGCCAATAAGACTTGGATAAACAGATCTTCTTAGATAAGGACCCATTACCCAAAGCCCATATAAATATGGACCCATAATTGTAGCCCAAAAATCCAAACCAAACAGACAAATCTTTCCTTTTCTTCATCTGCAAGCAACAGACACAGAACAACAACACTCTTCCCTCTTCACATCAACAATGTCTGCTGCAGCCATGGCCCTCTCCTCTCCTTCCTTCGCCGGCAAGGCAGTGAAGCTCTCCCCCTCACTGCCCTCGGAACTCATGTGCGACGGCCGCATCGCAATGAGGAAAGCCGCCGCCAAGCCCAAGCCCGCTTCATCCGGAAGCCCATGGTACGGCCCGGACCGCGTCAAGTACCTGGGTCCGTTCTCTGGGGAGGCCCCATCGTACCTGACCGGCGAGTTCCCCGGCGACTACGGCTGGGACACGGCCGGGCTCTCCGCGGACCCCGAGACATTCGCCAAGAACAGGGAGCTCGAAGTGATCCACTGCAGGTGGGCCATGCTCGGAGCCCTGGGCTGCGTATTCCCCGAGCTCCTGGCCCGCAACGGGGTGAAGTTCGGAGAGGCCGTTTGGTTCAAGGCCGGGGCCCAGATCTTCAGCGAAGGTGGGCTTGACTACTTGGGCAACCCGAGCTTGGTCCACGCACAGAGCATCCTGGCCATTTGGGCCTGCCAGGTTATTCTCATGGGCGCGGTCGAGGGATACCGGGTTGCGGGTGGGCCGCTCGGTGAGGTGGTCGACCCACTCTACCCGGGTGGCAGTTTCGACCCGTTGGGCCTGGCCGATGACCCGGAGGCGTTTGCCGAGTTGAAAGTGAAGGAGATCAAGAATGGGCGGCTGGCTATGTTCTCCATGTTTGGGTTCTTTGTTCAGGCCATTGTCACCGGAAAGGGACCGCTGGAGAATTTGGCCGACCACATTGCCGATCCGGTCAGCAACAATGCGTGGGCTTTTGCCACCAACTTCGTCCCCGGAAAGTGACGTGGGTTCGAATTTGGAATTTGGGTGATTGGTGCTGATTTGTAAATGTGTTGAGCTTGGAATTTGTAAATTTGGGGGTTTGTCCTCTTTGCCTAATTGCTTCAGCCCCACGCTTTCTATGGAAATTGTGAGATTTGTCTGGGTATTGTGGGATTTGGTTTGTTAATTATTTTGGTGTCTTTTGTTGGAAATCAATGGAAGACTTGGAAATTTGTTGCCACCAATCCTTCCGGAATTTCAGTTCATAAACAAGTCAATTTCCATTTTCTACTTTCAGTATGAAATTAAATTATCGTAATTTTAGAGTCCGCAAAAATAAAATTAATAGATAGCAACAAAATTGATATTTTTATCCAACAAAGAACATAAATGTTATAATTCTTACACGACAGGTAGATCATAAATGGTACATGCTACTATAGTGGACTAGCGGCAAGGAGGAGGATGAGAAAGCCATCTTGCGATTCGAACTTAAGATGAAGACCAACAATAAATACTTATAGAACAAATTTTTGTTCTCGATTGATAAAAAAAATTGATAAATACAAAGGAAAGGATGTGATTTAACAATAATGTTGTATGTAACAATGTATTTTTCATAGTCAACGAGTGCGGATGAGAACTATTAAAGCTTTATTATGGAATCCAAAGTAAGTTTTGACTACTCAACCGATGTACCACATGAACTTTAACCCATCAAAAGTAAACCAAGTAAGAATACTATCACGAAATCTATTGTTTTCAACAATGAGTTGTAACATCTAAAAACTACTATAATGGTTCGAAATTGTAAAATGGGTAAATTATATTCACTATCTACAACCAAATAAGGTTAGTTTTAAGAAAATGACACAATCCCCCGTCGCAATCTTACCTCCAACCACTATGGTCATGATCGAGGATCCATATGTTATCTATTCGTTTCCCATTTCACCTTTGCTTTCATTGGCCTTCAATTTTACCTAAGCTATATTCATAGTTTTAATTTCCCCACCATGCCTTTATCTATCAGTTTAAGTTAGAATGGGTCCCAGAAAGCTGAAGGAGGGTCTAAAATGGAATCCCACTTTGCGGTTGGCTCAATTAGGAGGAGGAGCTTTCCTAACAAACGCGTTCACTGGAATCGAATCTTTGTCATCTAGAGGCTTATCTTTTTGGTTTGGAGGTTGTACAAACAAATTCTTGATGGTAACTTTCTCCCTTTTCCAAAAGAAATTTTGGTTCTGAATTATGATCACTTGCGCGCCATAGTTGAGACTTGAGAGAGGATGGAGGTGGTTGATGCATAGAATCTTCAATGGCATGTTTTAGGGTTGGAGATGATGCTTCTTCGAAATGGGTTAGTGGAGAAATTAAGATGAGAAGAAAGGAGAGAGAGAGAGAGGAAGTGGGTTAGGTTCAAAGGTTAGCTATATGATTTCAGGTTCAGTGGGAACTCTATAATGTAGCTGTTACTCTGTTAGTACTGTATTATGAACAACTCCAACTACCATATACCCACATCATAATTTATGGCACTTCATATAAATATTGGTCTCAATTGAAATTGGTCATGAGTCTTTGTTGGTATGTATATCCATAGTGAGGTGGAAGTTGGTGTTATCAGGTGTGGAGGAAAAGGAATAGTTTAATTTTATAGCACTAATTAATGGGAAGATTTAATATATAGTCTGAAAGGAAGAGGGGATTAGGGTTTTGTAAGGAGATGTTACAACTCCAAGTTATTATCAGTGAGTTGTATTTCTGTCTAGGTATTGTTAGATTACAAGTTTGTTGATGTTATATATAGTAAAGAAGATTATATGTCGGGGATACCTATCGGGTTGTGTGTCTGTTAGCTATCATTATACTTGAGCGGACATTCATTATGCTCCGGTTTGCTTTAACAACAACTACTATACCCTAGTTGCATAACAAGATATAGAAATGGATTCGATTGAAATTGCTCTGGAATATATTCAGTGGTCAATTTCACACAATGACAAGTTTAAGTTTCAAATCTCATTGTTATCCTGAATAAAGATATCACATCAGAGGGATATTGCTCAAGTTGTTGTGCCCTTGAATCATCTATCTTTATAGTTGTGTTATATATAGTCATGGTGACCGAGAACTACCTTAGATATGGCAATAATACTCATCGTAAATAAATCGAACTCATTTAGTCAACAATCCCTCAACCAAATGATTAAAGTGATGGACTCGCTTAAAGGAGATTTCATATTCGAATCCGTTATTTCACCATTCTCAAAAACAAAACGAAACAAAGAAAGAAAGCTACAGCTTGGGTATAATCAACGACTTGTTGGATTATGATGTGATGTATAAATAATAGAAAACATAAATCAAATATTAAATTCGTCACCAAATCGAAGTAAAACAACCCCTAATTAGAAAGCAAATAACTTTTCTTTTTTCTTTTCTTAACAAAGTAATTTAAATGTCGTGGCACATGTCTCACTTGTACTTCTCCATCAAGAAATGAACATGCCCAGTTTAGAACTTCATGTGTTGTCGGGTAATGAATTCGCCTAAAAAACAAAGAGAGATGTGGGAAACAAAACATTCTACCACTATAAAGGATACAACATATGTAATGTTTTGCTTGTTATATTGCATCAACATAGCAAAATGCAGCATTTCTCTGTCTGATCATACTTTGATTGAGTTGGGTATACTAAAAGAGCCATTCAGTCATCCCATTTGCCAAATGCAAAAAGGTGCTCCTATTATGACCCCAACAGTCCCAACTGTAGCATTTCAGTAGAACCCACTTCTTGTTTCCATAATAATCCGGTCTTTTGGACTTTGATTTCAATCCATTACCTAGAAATGGGTGGAAATTCATGGGTTGGAAGTCCTTGGAATTTGGGGTATTTTGTTAGCCTAGATGGTAGAGTGAAACTCTACATGCTTGATGTGGTCACGAGTATGAGTCAAGGATATTTTAGAAAATTTAGTCAAATAGGTCCACTAAGATTTTGTCTCGGAGTCTAATATTTTGTTCAAGTATTTCATTGGGATTATCAGTAAACAATTTATCAAAGTATTGTCAGATTATTTCAATTTTCCTCCCCAATCCTTAATTTCTATTATGGTCAAGACAAGCTAATTGACAATAATTTGCTAATTGTACATGTTTTCTAGATGATCTTGATTATTGATCGACGACCAACATATTATTAATCAACAATAAGATTTAGTGATGATTTCTTTATCAATATTGTAATATATGAGACTCTCAGTTAGTTAAATGTTTCGAACAAGAGTCAAAATCTTTTCAGTAGTCAATATTAATGACAAATAAAATATGCAATCCAAGCCCCAAATTAGCTAGTCTAGCTATTGGAAACATGCAAGTTCCATCCATTTGTCAGAAAATGAAAGCACGACCATATTAACGAGGTCATAATGTAGTGTTCTCTAGTGAATGATCTGCCATATATAAGTCAAAAGTTTGTGGGATTTCCCCTTATCTTTGACGTACAAAGTTTAACAAAAAAAAATGAACAATCCCATGTCAAGAACCAGTTGATCTCAATAACTCGAGTTGTTGAGAGAGGTTCAATCGTGGATCATATATCACACACTAACACGCCCCTTCAAACGAAAGACACGTTCAATCGTGGATCATATACCACACACTTGTCAAGAACCAGTTGATCCCAATAACTCGAGTTGTTGGGAGAGGTTCAATCGTGGATCTTATATCACTCTCTAACACGCCCCCTCAAACGAAAGCCAACCTATGGGCTTGAAGTTTGCACAGGCCCACCATACCATGTGCTTGAAAGACAACGGTTAATATTGGGGGTCGTGGAGATTCGAACACATGACCTTTCGGTTCTAGGCTCTGATACCATGTCAAGAACCAGTTGATCCCAATAACTCGAGTTGTTGGGAGAGGTTCAATCGTGGATCTTATATCACTCTCTAACAACACTAACACGCCCTTCAAACGAAAGCCACTTACAAGGGCTTGAAGTTTGCATAGATTCGAATACCATGTGCTTAACAAATGGGGTCACCGGGAATTGAACACAAGACCTCTCGGTCAGAGAAGGCTCTGATTCCATGTCATAAACCAGTTGATCCCAATAACTTCAGTTGTTGGGAGAGGTTCAATCGTGGATCATATGCCACACACTAACACCACATGGCAAGAAATAAGGCTGCGGGTTAGAATGGGTTAGGGTCCAATAACAGTGATAAACATAAAAAGAAATGTTAAAGAACAAAGTACACAACAAGGTTAAAAGTAAAACCTGTTTTCGCTTTACAGAAGAACCACTCGGACTTCACACTCCACTGTGAGATTTCATCATCGTCCAAACACTGCCCTAAAGTGTATTAGTAACCCATGTTTCCAAATCATGGCCCAAAGAATGCCCTAGAAAATTAGTGATTATTTTCTTATAAAAAAATTCAGAGTAATACATTCCAGACAAGGTTCTCAACCCAAAGGGGGAATCGGGACTGGTCCGTTGTCAATCGAAATTGCAACATCAATAAACTCTCCGCCATGCTCTGTCTCCCTAAATTCCCAGCGAACCGGAATAGCAGAAGCGGTGCTGGCGCATGAACCACTAACTATGGCAGTGAATGGTGACAAGCACCCAAGCGCTTACACACCACCAGATCTATCCAGGAACATACTTGACTTTGAGGATGGCATGCGTAACAACCTCATTGGATGATGAAATGAAGATTGTTAGATAGATTACTGGAGTTACAAAATTCATGGGCTAGGTTTCTTTCGTCCTGTAAAAAAGAGATGAAGATGAAGAGGCTGAGGCAGAAAGGATTGCGGTGGTAAAGATATGAATTGAGGGATTCCCCAATTTGATGGACAAAAAAAGAAGGGTTAAAATATATGATTATACGCATGTACATGGGCTTGCAAAGAGCAAAACTAAAAGCCCATCTAAAACCGCTGCGTAGCGCGGATCAACTCCCCTAGTAGTTTAGTAATATGGTTCAAGTCGGCAGTCTTGAAGAATTTCCATAAACATTCGACATAAAAAAATTGCCCTTGTGTAGCTGAATCAATGAAAAGTCATTCTACAAGCATTTGAATGATGTGTTCATGGATTGTCGTGTGGTCTTCCCAACATCGCGGAATGTCCGAGAATTTCATTCTTCCCAAAGTCTAAAAAAAGCAGCATGGGGAAGGCATGAGAGAGTATACCAAAAATTAGCAAGCACATAAGATTTTTAATTCAAAATTGAATAAAATTATAAAAATAATCACAATAAATATATTAAAATTAATAAAATAATCTCATGTCCCTCTCCATTTCTGA